GGGGGACACGGGGAGCATGGGGGACAGGATGGGGGACAAAGGGGGATACAAAGAAGAATGTGGGGGTACCGAGGGGGGACGTGGGTGGATGTAGGAGGTGAAGGTGGACATGGGGAGCATGGGGGACAGAGGAGGATACAGGGAAGAATGTGGGGGTACAGAGGGGGATGGGGATGAAGGTGGGGGAGCGTGGGGACAGGGGGCACAGAGGAGGAGGCTCCAGGAATGGCCGGGCAGGTGCTGCGGGCAGAGGGTATCCCCCCCGCCCTGAAGTGGACAGAGGCAGCCCAGCGTGTGCAGAACCCAGTGGAAGAGCCAGCTGGTCAGGACGGCCCGCCTTCTCCCTTTCAGCCCGCAGGCCTGTGGTGGGGAGAGGCTTCGGAAATGGCGCCGTGTCTACACCTCCCTGGGGCCCCGCTGAGCGCTGTGACCGGGACTGAGGAAGGCAGGAAGCACCGTGGACGGCCGGGAGACCCTGCGGGGGGGCGGCGGCGAGGCCTGGGGTGGACTGCAGCGCAGGTGGGAGGGGAGGTGCGGAGGAGGGTGGCTGGGAGCTGCCCTGCGGAATTAGTGCCAGGCGCCCAGCCGGGCCGGGCCGTTAGCCTCGGGCAGCCGGGTGGGGCAGTTGAGGCCGTGCATGGCAGGGGCAGCAGGCCCGGGGGCGCTACTTACACAGAGCAGGCCGGGGGCCCTCAGCTTCCAGGGCCCCCGAGCCCCTCCCCAGGGAGCTCAGGACGTCAGGGACCCTGGGGGCTGGGGTGGACAGGAGGCAGAGCGTGAGCAGGGGCGGAGGACGGAAGGCCCTGCTCGCTCCCGCCCCGGGGCCGGTCTCCGCAGCAAGAAGCCCCTGGCCAGAGCCTGGAGCTGGGGGCGCGGGGGCGGTCCACGGCCCTGCGGGCCAGGGGAGAAGCCCCCGCGGAGGGCTGGCTGGAGAGGCAGAGGCAGCCCCGAGCCTCCGTGGGGCCGAGGGGGCCCCGGTGGAGCCCACGCTCAGTCTGCTCTGAGGAAGCATCCCTACAGAGATGGGCTGTTGGGGGGCCCTTCAGGGAGACCCCGCCCACAGCAGGGGCCCACCGACGTACGCGGAGTGGGCAGGGGGCGACCGGGAGGCGGACATGAGGTGGGGGGGTTGGCTTCAGAGCTCGCCGAGCCCCTCCCCATGGAGCTCAGGACGTCAGGGACCCTGGGGGCTGCGGCAGACAGGTGAGACGCGAATGGGAGACAGGAGGGGGCACGCGGGAAAGACGGGGACAGGACAAGGACGAGTGCGGTCAGGCTGGAGAACCCCAGGCCCAGCTCATGGTGGGGTCCTGGGGCAGTGGGGACACCGGAGGCCGGGCTGGAGGTGTGGGGGGAGGGGCCGGACCTGGGCCCTTCAGGGCTCGAGGGACGCCCCCCGCCGCTGCCCCCGAGGTTGCTCTCCCAGCCAGACAAGGCGTGGCTGGGGTCTGGGCTGGGCGACCCTCCTGCAGGCTCCGGCCACCTAGGCCCCCCGCCCCCCCAGGGCTAGGGGGGCAGAACTGCAAGGACAGGGCCTCAGGGAACCCCTGAGTGAACACCCACTCTCCCTTCATCCAGGGGCCTGTGTTCCCCTCACTGCGTCCCCCAGACTGGCAGAATGGCCGGCCATCAGGCCCTGGGGCTGATCTCTGTGAGCGTGTGGCCCAGAGGGTCAGGTGGCCCCGCATGCCACCTGCCCTCCCTGGGGAGGCAGGCAGAGCTGGGAGCAGAAGAGGGGGTGCCTGGCCAGGCCACTGACCCTGCACGGGTGCAGCCCACCCGCCCTCACCGGCCGCGGAAACAGCCGGAACCCCGGAAAAGCCCCGTTGCTGGCCGTCTCCCGAGCAGGTGCCAGCCAGGCAGCTACAGACTTCAGGAAGTCCCAGAGAAGAAACCGAGCAAATTCAACCATGACCTTGGTCCCCCGCAGGGTGGGAGCGCCCCCGCTGGTCAGGGCGCCCGCCTGTCGGCCCGCACGCGCTGGGCAGGCCCCGGGGGCTGCGGCCAGGCAGGGCCAGCCCCCCGCGGACGCGCCATGCCTGCATCACAGATGCCCTGCCGCCCCGCCCTCCCCACGTACCTTTTGTGTCCTCGTCCTCTATGGTGGTGTGAGTGCTGTCCGATGACTCCTGGGGGACACACAGGGAGGCAGCGGGTCAGGACGTGGGCTCTGTCCCACCCGCCTCCATGGGGCCTGGAGGTGCCCACCCCAGCATCCCACGGGCGGTCACCCGGCCCCAGCCCCAGGCCGCTCACGTCCCCAAGGGCCAGGGGCCCGGACGCGCCTTCTCCCGACCAGACACACCTGGAGGAAAGACTCCCTGTGCTCAGACGGCTCTCATAAGAGGAAAACGGGCTCTCTGGGACCCCCAGTGAAATGGAAAGGCACCCCCAGCCCGTGTACTTGGGCAGACAGGACCAGAAGCTTCCAGGAGGTCCTCAAGAGCCTTGGCTGGCCCAGGCAGGATGCAGCCGTACCCACAGCTCCTGCCCTGGAAGGGGCCGCCTGCCCCTCATGCCTGGACTGTCCAGCCAGGCCCAGTCTCTCCCGAGGGGGCCTCCGACGGTAGACAGGCAGCCGCAGCACCTCCCGCCCCACTCCAAAACCAGGTACCGATCACCTGTCACGGAGTTCCCAGGAGGCCTGCTTGCTCCTCAGAAAGAGCATCCTAACAGAGTCCTCCAGGGCCGCCCTCTGGCCCCCTGACTGAACGCCCTGCTCGAGGCCCTGCCCAGAGATGGGGCGGGGGGCGGTCTGCAGGTTGTAGGATCAGGGCTCATACCACAGCCCCAGAGATTGTCTAGAAGCCTCTTGCAAGGAAAACATGAACCTCATCCCAGACACGGGGTCCCAGAAACGCCTGTCCCGAGCCACAAAGCAGGAGGACACCCAGGCCCTTCTTGGCACCTCGAGTCTGGGTTGGCTGAGAGGCAGTGGCCCATGGTCCCCTGGTCCTGGCCCACAGCCAGGGTGCGGGGCGCCCTTTGGGCAACCCAGGGCTGGGTGGGGGTCTGCGAACTTGGAGGGGGCGCTTGTCCTAGAAACACAGCTCAGCTGCCCGCCACCCCTCCCACCACCCCAAGAGCCAGCCCCTTCTCCGGCCCCGGGCACAGGTGCCGATGTGGTGGGAGATGCCAGAGCACAGAGCAGCAACGGAGGACGCAGGCTGGCTCAGCAGGAAGCACTGGGGGCAGAGGTGAGCAATCGGGGGGGGGGGGGCGGGCGAGGGCATCTGTGCTGCTCCCTCCTCCCGGGGACCCCCTGAGGCCGCCCCGCACGCCTGGCCCCCGGCTTTGCTGGGCCTGGCCACGGCCAGTGCCAGACGGACAGCACAGAGGGTCCTGAGGGGTGGACCCTGCTCTGGGCCCCCACCGTCGACGGACGGCGGACCCGGTACAGCCAGGCCCGAGAGGGCAGGACCTGGGGCCTTGTCCCGAGGGGCGGCCGTGGACCTCTGAGGCTCTGTCCTGCCTCGAGAGGGGTCCCTGCACACCTGCCCCCCAACTCGTAGCCCTGGGGCTTCCCCGGGGCAACGCCCCAGACCTGCCCCTGGCCAGGGGGCTGCCTCCTGCCTGAGTGCAGGCTCCCAAGGGGGCGGTGAGGGAGCAGCAGTACCTTGATCCCGTCCACGGGGTTATGAATGACGGTGGTTTGAGGCTCCTACAGAAGAAGGAAGCACAGAGGAAGGAAAGAGGGAAGTGAGCGGCGGAGGCGGCGGCTGGAGGGGAGGAGGGCAACCGGGCGCGGATGGCAGGAGGTGGAGCGGGCCGGAGAGGCCCGGGGCCCAGGGTGGCCAGAGAGAAGCATGTGTGCCCACAGAGGGCGGCAGAGAGCGTGGGGGCCGCAGGCGGGGAAAGAGGTCCTCCCCTCCCTTTGCTGCCTGACCCCCTGCCCCGGGATGCGGGGGACACGGTTTTGAAGATGTCATGGGGGTGGGGTGGCATATGGGATGGACGGGGTCCGAGACGGGGCTGGCTGTGTGGGACCCACCCCTCCTGGGCTGAGGCCGCCGCCACGTGCGGGATGGCCACCTGGCGAGCCTAGCCTTCCTGTGGGCCGTGTGCGGCTGGGCTCCCTGGAGACAGCGCGCGTGCTCTGCAGGGCTCGGAACCTGGGCACCAGCCAAGCCCGACCTCTTGGGGCGGCCGGCTCTACGCGGGCCGCCATGGGCACACAGCGCCCCCGCACCAGCACGACCCACGCCACCAGCTGGGGGGGGCCCTGACACAGCCAGGAGGCTCCTCTGAACTTGTCTGCCTGCCCCTGCCCAGAAGCCCCCAGGCCTCTCCCTCCCAGGCAGCCACGGGCCAGCACGGCCACAGGGCTGCGTCCCCCTGGCGGCTTCGGGGACTGAGGGGCACGGCCTCCCACGGAGGCCGCCCTGCCTGCTGCTGGGTCATCACCAGGCCAACTGCCAAGCGGGCTTGTCTCCCTGCAGATCACCGGGGGTGGGGGGCTCCAAAGCCAAGACCAGCCCCACCCATCATTCTGGGAGAAAGCCAAGCCCCCACTTCCCAGATGGCGCGCCCCCCCCCCGCCGCGGCAGCCGGGCGGTGTCTCCCCGCCGGGCCAGGCCCCTGCACAGCCCCGAGACCGCCCAAATGGGGCTCGGCCCTCAGTCCACACCCGCGCGGCAAGGGGGAGCTGGAGCGCCAGGTGTTGTCCATCGGGGTTAGGCTGGGGCTGCACCCCACCCTCAGCCCAGGCCTCCTGACAGGTGGCCACCGCACAGCCAAGGTGGGGGAGGGCCGGGAAGCAGGGCGCGGAGGGGCTCAGTACCAGGGCGGCCGGAGGAAGTGTCCCCTTCGGGCTGGTGGCAGCAGTGCTGTTTTTGGTGCTGTTTGTAGGGGGCTGTGGAGAGAGGAAGAGGAGGTCGGGGGAGATGGCGGCAGCCACCATTCCCAGGGCAGGCCCAGCACGGAGCGAGGGAGGGAGGGAGGGAGGGAGGGAGGGAGGCCCAGCCGCACTCACCTTCACCGCGTCAGCCTTCTTGTTGAGTAAACTCTTGGCTGCTGCGTTGGGAGGGGAGGAAACAGGCAGCATGAGCAAAGGGCTTGGGGCCTGCTGCTTCCCGCCCCCGTCAGTGTGAGGTGACCTCAGGGGCCAGCCAGGCTCTGGGCATCCCCAAGACGAGTGGGCAGGCAGGCGGCCCCAGGGACTGAGGCAGGGTGGCTTCTGTGGTCAGTGGGGCGCGGTGGGGGGGGGGAAGCAGATCTGTCCCCCGTTCTGAGCCTGGCTGTCCTGGAACAGGCCCATGGGAGACCCAGGGCTGCCCAAACCTCTCATCCCCGGTACAGGCCCCTTCCCCCGGCCATTCTCCACGACCCTGGAGGACACCGAGATTTCCCCTCCCACCTGGGCCCCGCGGCTCGTGGGCAGTGTGCAGGCTCTGCCAAGAAGAAGTCAGGGTGCTCCCCCCTCCCCGGAGAGGAACACAGGATGGGGTACCAGGTTGGGGTGGTGGGCAGCTGCCTGTCATTCTCCGTGTTCTGGGGCCGGGGCAGGCTGCAGCTGGTCACCCACCCAGGCACGGGAGGGGCTTGTCCCAAGCTCGGGTGCCTGCCGGCGATCAGCCTCCTGGCCCCCTCCCACAGGCCCAGGCCCCCGGCTCAGAGCACCAAGGGGCTGCCTGGTTCTTCAGGAACCAGTCCTGGGAGTCCTGACCTTGGGGTCACTTTCCTGGCCCTGCCCTGGCAGCACCAGCCCCAACACGGGCCCCTCTGTGCACTCCTGAGGCCCCTGGGCTCTGAGTGGGCTCAGCAGGGCGACACCCACGGGGAAGGCTCCAGAGGGCCACCCGCGTCCCCGGCTCCCCCCACCTGTGGGACGCCCCAACGCGACCGCACAGAGGCCAGGGCAGCCCGGCCCCTGCCTCACCCTCCCCCAGCCCCCCGGCATCTGGGCCCTCCACAGTGGTCAGCGGTAACGGTGGCTGCCAAACCAAAGGAAGTCTGCTTACCTTCCAGGAAAGGAAAGGTGAGGAGGGAGGGAGTAGTAGTGAGGGAAAGAAAGAAAACAAGATTCGTGTGGTCAGGCAGGGGTGCGAGTGTGTGCGGCCCAGGACCCCGCCTGGTCCTGCCCACCCCACCCGCGCTCCCAGCCAAGCGCTGCCCCGCCCGTGAGGCCGATGTGGTGGGGGTCACCCCGCCGCGGGCTCCACAGCCTCCAGCCAGCTAGCCAGCCCTGCAGCGGGGCTGCCTGCCCCAAGGGCCCACGGTGGTCCACGGGGGGCGGAGGGGGCCCCTTGACTGCAGGAGACATCCCTGGACGCTGTGACATCAGAGCGATGTGCACACCACGACCCAGGGAGGGGCAGTGGTTCTCAAAGTGGCGTCCCCACACCAGCAGCACCCAGGCCCACCCCAGACCTCCCGGGGGTGGTGGGGCATCTGTTCCAGGAGATCCTAACCCTGCTTTGGTTTGAGAACCACTGTCAGGGTCCCACGGCCCACCTCCCTCTCTGTGAAGGTGCCCTTTGCTGCCCTCTGGGCTCTGTGCAGGGACATGGGTGATGTGCTCGGGCAGAGAGCCCTGTGGGGCCGTCCAAGTGCCACCCTGGGCGCGGTCTCCAGCCCCACAACCTGTCAGCTCTCTCAAAGGCTTCCCCCGCAGGATCCACGGGGCCGTGTGTCACCAGAGGCCTGCCCGCTGGCCTGTCCCCCTGGTCCGGCAGGCCTCACCCCGTGAGAAGTGTCACAGGATCCCAGTAAGCAAAGGGATGACCGGCGCCCCCTCCCTTGCCCGTCAGTCCTGGCCGCCCTGCAGCACATCCCCCCAATCCTGGGGAGGCTGGATCAGGACCACGCCCGGAGGCCCGGACCATCCCAGGACCAAAATGCCACCTCCCCAGGGCCGCTTCCCACGGTGGGCACCCTGGAAAGCTCCCCAGGGGGCAGCTCCAACCCACCTCCCAGTAACTCACCACAGTAGAACAGGCCAGCCCTGCAGACTCGGGAGCTTTCGCTCCTGACCCCCACTGACCTCACCCCTCTGCTCCCTTCCCCACATCCAGCGCACACCTGGAGCCCACCTCCCCTGAAGTAGGAGTCATGCTGAAGGCGTGGAGCCCCGGTCCCCCATCCTTGCTGGCTGACCAGCGGGGGGCAGGGCTCCTCCAGGGGCCTGGAGGAAAGAGGCACCCATCCCGAAGGCACGCGTCTCGGCAGCTGAGCAGGCAGGCAAGCTGACCCCACACCTGATTCAGGCCGGGCCCGCGACACCATGCGGCCTCGGCGTCTGAGCCGGTGTAGGCCGGGGCCGGCCCAGCACCCCGAGGAGACACAGCCAGCCCTGCCTGGCCCTGGGCAGAGGCAGATGGAGACCCTCGTCTCGAGAGGGCCCCCCTCTCAGTCCCTGACTCTCAAAGCCCACTCTCCAGACCTTGCTCCCCAAGACGGCAACACCCCTCCGCGGACTCAGACGGCTCACTGGGGCCCAGGCTCCAGAAAGCCTCACAGCCGACACCGAGCCTCTTAACCAATGCCCAAACACTTCCCCTGAGGAACCCCCTTTAACCAGCGCCTGCGAGTCTGGGCACAGTGTGGACACACGGCCGGGCCCCTCCTGAAAGCGGCTCCCAGAAATTCACTGCGTCCAGGGCCCCGTGGACCCCGTCTACACTGGCAGTCAAAAGCACAGCTTCGCGGCAGGAGCCCCGGGGGGCCGAGCAGCTGCCCCAGACCCCTGGTGGGCAAGCAGAGACTTGTTGCCGCACCCGCCAGGGTCCTAGGCCGGCCACGGCTGCCCCCCACCCACACCCCCAGCTCTCCCGTCTCCTCTCAGGGAAGGCCAAGACGCTCCGTCGACCCGCAGCGTCATCGTCTCTACGGAGACCCCGCGGGCTCCTCGGTTGGGGGCGCTATGTCACCGGGGAGGCTGTCCCCTGCAGAGGAGCGATGGCCTTGGAACGGAGCCCCCCGCCCAGTGCCGCTGGCTGAGATGGGCTGACCTCTGCCCAAGGGCCCAGCCTCTGCCTCGTCCCCTCGCTGGTGGCCCGAGACAGCCATGCTGGGCTCCGTCCACATGCACTGACCGCCCCCGGGACAGAGCAGCCCTCGGCGGCCAGGTGGGGGGCTGTGCATGCACACGGCCTCATGCAGTCGTTGCACACCGACGACAGGCAGGTGGGCTCAGGCAGGGGCCCTGCAGAGAGCAGCCCGGAGGCCTCGCTCACTGCGCCGGGCAGCTGCGCTTCAGCAGCGCGCTTCGGCCGAGGCGCCCAGGCTCCCTGCTCCCTGGCCCCTGGTCCTCCCTCCTCTCATGCGCTCCAGAAAGGCTCTGGGAAGGAAGCCAAGGACGGCCCTCCGCGGGCCTTGCCTGCCGGACACGTCCACCGGGCTCACAGGAGGGGCGCACACCGCCCTTCCCGAGGGTGGCCCTGCCCGGAGTACCCCCAGGAGGAGGCCGCTAGGGAAGGCAGCCCCTGTGGGATCTTGAGGCAAGAGCTGGGATGGACGGCTGGCTGGGGCCGAAGCACAAGGCCCCCGCAGAAAACTACGCCCCACGGCTCCGTCTGGGGAGCCCTGGGATCGGCCTTCGGCTGCAGCGGGCTCCGTGCGCCCTAAGCCTGCACCGCCCTGGGCTCAGGCTGGTCCCCTGGCAGGTCCTGCGGTCCGCTAGCCCTCAGGGCTTCTGGCTAAGCTCACAGCGAGGTGGGCGGGAGCGGGCCTGAGGCCCCCGGGGAAGAGCTGCTCGGCAGAAACAGCCTCTCCCCTCACGTATTTGGGAGGAGGCCAGGGGCCTCGTAGAGAGACCAACAGGACATTCTCGGGGCGGGGGGCCAAGGCCCCCCTGTCCTGCGGCTCACAGGGCACACATGCACACGTCAGGCCCAGCACAGACCACCAGCTCCATGCGAGAGCCGGGGAGAAGCACGGTGCAGGTGCTTGGGAGCAGGGGCGGCCCAGGCAGGGCGTGCACGGGGCTGGCAAGAGGGCCCTCGTGGGGCAGGGCCTCTGCACCCATGCCTTTTTCCCGGGGCCCCCACTCAGGGTTCGGACCCAGCAGCAGCCCTGAGGCTTCCTACGGGTGGCCAAGGTCACTCTGAACGGGGGTCGTGACGGACAAGCGGGGAGAAAGATCACAGAGCACAGGGCTCTGACCAGAGGGGTCTCCTGACCCCCAGACTCAGGGGCCAAGACCAACGTTGGGTGAAATGCACGTGGGAGGAGGCATGGCTTAGGAGTCACCTAGCCTGGCCCCTCCTTTAGCGCACGGGGTCCGAGGCTGCTGGGACAGCGGGGGCTGCCGCCCTGCCCTCCGTGTGGGACCTGTCCACGGCGGGAGCGGGGGCTCCCGGGGCCTCTGGGGCAGCTCTGGAGGCCTGGCCAGCAGCTGCGTGCAGCGAGGGGGCTGCATGCCGATAGGCGGGACCCTGGTCAAGAACATCTACCTTGTTCCACCAGCCCCATGGTGGTGCCGGAGGCCGCGGTGGACATTGTGGCCGGAGCGGTGGTCTGTCTGCCCACTGTTAGCACCGGGTTAGAGACGAGGGAGGGGCGGACACAGACGGGGGGTGGGCAGGGGAAAGGGAGGGGAGAGACAAAGGAAGCAGAAGAAGATTAGAGTCCACAGTTGGGTGGCGGATGGCTCCAGAGTCCCGTTCACAGGAGAGTGGGAACAGGACCGGGACTGAGCGACAGTTGGAAAGCGTCTGCCTCCTTTCTCCTTAGAAAACCCCAGCGGGGGCTTCTCGCGCCCAGCGGGCGTGCGCACAGGATGGGACCCGTTAGTGGTGTGACACATGGCCCCCCGGTCCCGGCAGCACGGTATCACAGCCAAAGGAAGAGGATGGGGTGCTGGATGCAGACGAACAGGGACGGACCCCAGACGCTCCCGCAGCCAGTGACGCGGGCGACAGACAACCACAGGACAGCCAGGGGGCCACCTGCCCCTCGGGTGGCGCTGGACCAGGGCCCTGGCCTTGGGTCGCTGACAGACACCCCCCCTCGAGCAGCCGCACGCCCCCAGCCCCGCCCACGCCCAGCGCCCCAGGCGGGCGGCCGCCAGCGAGTCCGGAGCTCGGCGGAGAGGTCCCGGGTCCTCCTCTCCCCTCCCGCTCCCACACACAGAACGGGTGCTCAGGGGGCTCAGGACAACAAGGCCACAGAGGTGCCAACCAACAGCTGGACAGACACACAGCTGCGGCCCAGGCGGCGGCAGCGAGGACACAGAGACCCAACACGCAGGGACAGGGGCGTGTGCCGGGCGGCCTCCCGGACCGGGCTGGATCGGGCTGGGGGGCAGACCCTGGGGTGCTGCCCACAGAGCCCAGGCCTCGAGGCCCCGAGCGGGCAGAAGTCTAGGCTGCTGAGCGGTGGGGGAGAAGGGCCGGGGGTCGTGAGAGAGGGGCAGGCCGCCGGCGGCGGGGGGTCATTCGGAAGCCTTCTCTTCCAGGAGAAGACCGTTCTCACCTGAGAAATTTCTCGTGGCCAGCATGGTGGTGAGGATCGCACCCTGGGGAGAGACACGCAGCTGAGACCAGGACACCCCAGCCTGGACCTCAGCCTGGGGGCGCCTGCCGGGACCTGGGCCACGGACTCGCAGAGCAAGTCTGCAGGCTCCCCGACTGCACAGGGACCGGCTCCCTACTTCCGGAGTGAAACCAGGGGCCGCCCACTGAGCACAGCTTCTAGGGGGCTCAGGACCACGGGCTCCCCGCCGGCCTCCTCCTCCCCACCCACCCGCCCGCAGCCAGGCTGCTCTCCGCACCAGACCTGCGGGGGGCCGGCGCTGCCCACTCGCTCACCCTGAAGCAAGCGGCAGCGACCAGGGGCACCTGCCCCTCCACAGCCCCAGGAATGGGGGACCCCGAGTGTCGCTGCCATGCGGGGGCTGGGTCCACCTGACACGTGTGCTCTGGGACCCCGGTGCCTGCCCTCGCCCGGCCTGCCGGGACCCCTCTGGCCGCTCCCAGCCTGCGGCCCTCGAGGACACGGGCACCCCCGGGGCGGCTGAGCAATGGGGGCCGTGGGGCTGGTGGGCTGGGCGCCGGGGCCCCCGTCTCACCTTGAGCTTCCTCCGGGCATTGAACTTTTTCAAGCATTCTACGGTCTCCTGCCTGTGCATCATGGAGGCCACGGTGGAGCGTTGCTGTGGGGAGAGGGGCTGTCACACCCGGCAAAAGGCTCCAAGGGGGGTCAGCTCCGGCCCTCAGCGGGAGGGCTCAGGACAGTAGGGCCGTGGCACCCCCCAGGGCCACCCACTGCAGCAGGAGGCCAGCTGTGCCCCCTGCTGCCCAGCCCCGAGCCCACCACCCCTTTCCGCCTGTCTGCCCCCACCTCACCCTCACCCTCCTGGCCCTCCTGACGGCTGTGTCCCCAGGCCCCCGGTCTGCCTCGACTCTCCGTCCCCTCACATACAGGACGGGACCTCCTCTATCTGGAGCCCCCACCTTCCCAGAGACGGAGGCCTTGCAAACCCCCCAGTGGGCCCCAAGCCCCAGGCCGCGCAGCACCCAGGAGAGCTGGGGGGACCCGTCAGCGGTGAGGAGAGAACCCCAGGGCGCGCGTGCTGGGGGGACTTACGCAGACCCACGGGTGTTTCAGCGCTTCGTGTGCTGTGATGCGCTTGGCGGGGTTGATGGTCAGCATCTGGTTGATGAGGTTTTTGGCTTCAGGAGTGACCGTGTCCCACTCGGGGGACGGAAACTAGAAGAGGAAGCAACGCACGAGGGAGTCTGAAGCCCCCTCCCCAGGCAGGAGCCAGAATCCCGAGGGCTCTCGTGGGTCCTGATTCTGGGAAGCAGGTGGTGTCACTCACTCCAGGCCTCCCCCCGGATGGGGCGGGGCACAAGGGTCCCAGCACTCACGTCGTAGGCTCCTGCCTTGATCTGCTGGTACAGCTTGTGCTGGTCCTCGTCCCAGAAGGGGGGGTAGCCCACAAGCAGGATGTACAGGATCACCCCTGTGCGGAGCAGAGTGGGGGGGCCTCACGCTGCCGCCCCGCCCACAGCCCCCACTCTCTGGGTCCCCTCCCCCACAGCCTCGTCCCCACCCCCACCCACAGCCCACCCCTGTGCCCTTGGAACACAAGGGTCATGTCCAGGGCTCAGCTCCACCCGAGACCCCCACCAAGGAGGCAGCCCTGCCACAGTGGTCTGCGTGCCCCCCCCCGGCACCGAGCGCTCCCTCTGGCCCAGACCTCTCTTCTGGGTGCGGGGCGGGCACGGGGGTGGTGGGCTTCTCGGCAACTGCCAGGATCACCTTAGCGATTCTAGTCTGTGTGGGGAGGGGGCTCCTGGCTGGTGGCAGCCCCGTGAGTCGGCCCAGGGGCGGGCCTGGCACGGCGCACGTGGCGCAGGGCTCCCTCCACCGTGGCCCCGTGGCCCCACCCGCCTCCACGGAGGTCTCACCGCACGCCCAGATGTCCACCGGCTTGCCATAGGCCTCCTTGCGCAGGACCTCTGGGGACAGGTAGCCTGGTGTGCCAGCGAACCCTGGGGACAGGGCAGGGGCGGTGTGAGGGCCGAGGCCGCAGCGGACCCCCGCCCTCGCTCCGGCCGGCCGCCTGGACACTCACCAAACCATGCCTGCTGGTCCCCCTGCACCTCGATGGCCAGGCCGAAGTCCGCCAGCTTCACGGCCGCCCCTTTGCACTTGCTGGCCAGGAGCAGGTTCTCGGGCTGCAGGGAAGGCGACCCACCAGTATGCGTGCGGTTTACACCCGGGGGGCACGGACGGAACGGGGCACAACAGACGGGACAGCGGTTTGCAGGCTGGGGCGCACAGCTCTGATGCCCCACCGTGTGGCTGCTGCCCTGGCGGACTCGTCGTGAGCCCCGGGGGCAGAGGGGAGCTGTCACACCCAGGCCGAGAACTCAGGGTGCAGTGAGCAGACCCGAGCGGTGCCCCCCGATGTCCCACATCTGGGTGCTCAGGCACGGTGGGGGGCTGCCTGAGGGGTGGCGCCCCACTGAGGGCCAGGAGGAAGGAGGCAGCGCAGAGCGTCTGGCTGCCCCCTCCCGTGGCGCCCACAGATGGGAAAGGCCCCCCCATTCCCCCCTGCCTCAAGGAGCAGCGCCCTCGGGCAAGCTGAAAGGGCATTCGTCCCCTGTCCCACGGGAGCACCACGGGGGTCCCTATGCTCTGTGTCCTGTCCACAGGGCCCCTCCCATCCCGGCCTGGCCGCCTCCAGTGGTCAGCGTGGAGCACACAGAGCTCGCAGCCTCTGGGCTTCCTCGTCCCTGACCGCCCGGGGCCCCCTCCCCGGGCCGCCCTCCCGACAGGCAGGCCCACGGAGACCACACCACCATTGCAGTGCCCCAAGAAAGGCACACACCTCCGAAAAGACCGTGTTAACACTGCTCGTAACCCTGAGGTGTTAGAAGGTGACACGCGGCCCTTGGAACCTGTGAAGGATGCCAGCCCCGTGGCAGACACCGGGGCTTCCCCGGGCCCCACCCAGCTGGCCGGGGACGAGCTCCGTCCCCGCAGGTGACACGTGCTGGGGACAGGTGGCCCTGCCTGCCCAGCACAGCCCAGAGGCCCCTCAGCATCTCCATTTTCCCAACGTGAGCGGGGCAAGGGGGCCCCCACCTCCCCTTGCACCCGCATCGAGGAGTCTGAGGTGGCCGGGCAGGCCTTCCACAGATGAGGGGCTCAGCCCCAGGGAAGGGCTGGGGACCCCTGCCCCCCCCACAGCCCCCTGACATGGTGCCAAACCCCTCTGCTCTCCCCTCTTCCCACCTCGGCTGAGAGCAGACCCACCACTGTACTGTCTCGGGGGTCTGTCCCCAACAGGAGACAGGGGTCCTCTTGGGAAGAGGAGAGGCCGACTGCCCTCCACACCCCGCAGGAGGCAGAAGGCCCACTGTCCTGCCCTTCTGTTCTTTTCAGCAAGGCTTGCTTGCCCCGGGTCACACCTGGGCGGGGGTGAACACCTATGTTCATTCCTATGCCGTGGCCTCAGGGTGAACTATGAATCATGGGGTCCAGGGACAAGGTGGGGATGCATGCCTCCATGTGAGCTGCTTCAGACCAAACGTGGTGACAGACCGTGAGGCCCACAGCATGGGCACACAAAGCAGGCCTGGGGCGCAGGTAGAGGGACGCAGGACCATGTGGGACGTGCAAAGAGGGCGTGGGAAGGGGGTCCCGGGCCTGCTTCTGGTGGGACACCATCCCCAGAACAGCCCCTGCAAAGATCAGCTCACGTGCACACCCCTCAGTGGCCCAAGAGAGGTGTGGCCCCATTCAGCGTGGAAAGGTTGGTCTCAAATGCCACCTAGGGACTCTCGGCAGGAATGACAGGCCCCCCCCCCAGCCCAGCTAAAAAGGGGACAGGAACCCAGCTTTGGAGAGCCTGGGAGGCAGGGAAGGCGGAGGGGGTGCTGTTCCTCCTGAGGCCACACTGTGACCTGGGGGGTGACAAACCGCTTTGCCCAGAGCTGAGCCAGGGGCAGCAGAGACTTGCAGGATGGGCTGGACGCTGGCAGAGGCCAGCAAGGCCGGCCCCTCACCCCTGCTCCCTTGGCAGCAGCCCCACCTGCACACACATCACCTGCATGCCCCCTGCCGGGTCTGTCTCACCTGGAGCCCAGAAAGACACCCCAAGTGGATATGTGCTGACAGGCTGACTTTTGACAACTGCACTCTCAGTCCTGGAGCATGGAGTCGATGGAGGGACGTGTGCAAACACACACACATGCGTGCACACACATGTGCATTCTCTCACACATGCACACACATATGAATTCTCACGTGCACACCCACACAGGTACACATGCACACGTACTCATGCACTTGCACGCACCCCCACATGTGCTCGTGCACATTTGCACACGTGCTTTGTGCACACGTGTGTGCTTGTGCACACTCACACGCACATGCTCGTCCACACACATACTCGTGCACACACACAGGTGCTCATTCACACACACGTATTCGTGCACACTCACACACACGTGCTCGTGCACTCACAGGTGCTCATCCACACACGTGCTCGTGCACACTCATGGGTGCTCACAAACACGTGCTCGTGCACACACACGTGCTTATCCACACATACGTACTCGTGCACACTCAGGGATGCTCACACACACGTGCTCGTGCACAGACACGTGCTCATTCACACACACGTACTCGTGCACACTCACACACAGGTGCTCATTCACACACGTGCTCGTCCACACATGTGCTCGTGCACACACACACAGGTGCTCATTCACACACATGTATTCGTGCATAGTCACACGTGCTCATGCACACTCACAGGTGCTCATCCACACACGTGCTCGTGCACACTCATGGGTGCTCACAAACACGTTCTCATGCACTTGCACGCACCCCCACATGTGCTCGTGCACATCTGCACACGTGCTTTGTGCACACACGTGTGCTTGTGCACACTCACACGCACGTGCCCATCCACACACGTGCTCGTCCACACACATACTCATGCACACACACAGGTGCTCATCCACACACGTGCTCGTGCACACTCATGGGTGCGCACAAACACGTGATCGTGCACACAGACAAGTGCTTATTCACACTCACATGTGCTCGTGCACACTCACAGGTGCTCATCCACACACACGTGCTCATGCACACTCACAGGTGCTCATCCACACACACGTGCTTATGCACACTCACACATGCTCGTCCACATGCGTGCTCATGCACAGCCCTACACACGTGCTCGTGCACATTCACAGGTGCTCATGCACACTCATGGGTGCTCACAAACACATGCTCGTGCACACACACGCATGTGCTTATCCACACACGTGCTCGTGCACAATCATACACACATGCTCGTGCACAATCACACACACATGCTCGTGCACACTCACAGGTGCTCGTGCACACACAGGTGCTCATTCACACACACGTACTCGTGCACACTCACAGGTGTTCACACACACGTGCTCACGCACACACACGTGCTCACGCACACACACGTGCTCATTCACACTCACAGGTGCTCACACACACGTGCTCAAGCACACAAACACGTGCTCATTCACACACGTACTCGTGCACACTCACAGGTGCTCACACACGTGCTCGTGCACACACACGTGCTTATCCACACACGTGCTCGTGCACACTCACAGGTACTCATCCGAAACATGCTCGTGCACACACACACGTGCTCACACACACGTGCACACTCCCAGGTGCTCATCCACACACGTGCTCGTGCACACTCATGGGTGCTCACGAACATGTGCTCGTGCACACACACGTGCTTATCCACACACACGTACTTGTGCACACTCATGGGTGCTCACACACGTGCTCAAGCACACACATGTGCTCATTCACACACACCTACTCGTGCACACACACGTGCTTGTCCACACACGTGCTCGTGCACACTCACAGGTGCTCATCCACACACGTGCTCGTGCACATTCACACACAGGTGCTCATTCACACACGTGCTTGTCCACACACGTATTCGTGCACACACACACAGGTGCTCATTCACACACACGTGCTTGTGCACACTCCCAGGTGCTCATCCACACACACGTGGTCATGCACACTCACACATGCTCGTCCACAC